CATGACATTTTTATTGATTATTTAGTTTGTTGTATTAACTGCTGATAAAATAGGTAATTAAAACAATAATTAGGAAAATTTACAATCTACAGAAGTGAAGGTTTAAAGTGGATCAAAACCTTTCATCAAAGTCAATCAAAACACTCATATTTGTCTTAGAAGAATTCTGATAAATATTCTTGACCCACTTTAAACGTTGACTACTGTAACGTATATTACATTTTTATATTCATTACATTACTCTATACATCTATTTACTCATTTTAAAATCACATTTGTAATTTCATTATTTTTTCAAATGATGGATAATTAATTTATAAAATATTAATAAATTATATTTTTGTATTATAGTTAGTAGATTTTTTTATATTTTTGTAAAATTTGTTGTATTTTGTATTAATAAAATAGTTAATTAAAATAATAATTTTGAAAATATTTACATTACAATCGACAGTACGTTTGAAGTGGATCAAAACCCTTAAAAGTAAATCAAAACCTAAAAAAAATGACCCATTCTTGTCTTGAGAGAATTCTCAATATATATATATATATATATATATATATATATATATATATATATATATATATATATATATATATATATACTTGTTTTTTGTTGTTAAAAATTAAATACAGCAGAATTTACAGTAACTAACTGACAATTTTGGTTGCCAGTAATTTAGAAGCCCTCTTTAAATAAATGATTACAATTGTGCTGTATATTTACATTAAAATTGTAATCAATAATTTTCAATACACCTCTAAATTTACAGTCTAAATGGCAACCAAAATTGCCAAGTTAATACATTTTAATTATTAATTTAAAGTCTTACCACCAACCAAAATTGCCAGTAAGTTACTGTAAATTTCACAGTAAATTGTAATTATTATTTAAAGTGGTGTCACGGTGGCCCAATGGGTAGCGCTGTTGCCTCATATCCGCTGCATAAAGCATATGCTGGATAAGTTAGCAGATCATTCCACTGTGGCGACCCCTAGATTATTAACGGGACTAAGGCAAAAAGAATATAAATGAATAACCAATTTTCAGTGTGGGCGAGACGGTAGCTCAATGGTTAGCACTGTCGCCTCACAGCAAGAAGGTTGCTGGTTCAACTTCTGGCTGGCTCACTTGGCATTTCTGTTTGCATGATCTCCCCAAAGCAATTTGGTAAAGGTGAATTGAATAAACTAAATTGCCATATGGCATATCGGAGTGTATAAGTGTGAATTTGTGTATATGGATGTTTCCCAGTACTGAGTTGCAGCTCGAAGGGTTTCTGCTGTGTAAAACATATGCTGGATAAGTTCCATTAGGTTACTTCCAGTCAATTCCAGTAGTTTACTGTAAATGTTACAGTAAATTATAATTAGTACTTTACAATGCGCTTGCACATTTACAGTACTGTAAATTTCACAGTAAATTGTGATTATTAATTTACAGTGCGAGCGACACGATGGCTCAGTGGTTAGCACTGTGCCCTCACAGCAAGAAGGTCCCTGGTTCGAGTTCTGGCTGGGTCAGTTGGCATTTCTGTGAGGAGTTTGCATGTTCTCCCCGTGTTCGTGTGGGTTTTCTCCAGGTGCTCTGGTTTCCCCCACAATCCAAAGATATCCGCTACAGGTGAATTGATAAAACTCAATTGGCCGTAGTGTATGAGTGTGAATGTGCATGGATGTTTCCCAGGATTGGGTTGCAGCTGGAGAGGCATCCGCTGTGTAAAACATATGCGGGATAAGTTAGCAGTTCATTCCGCTGTGGCGACACCTGATGAATAAAGGCAGTAAGCCGAAGAAAAACTAATGAATTTACAGTGCGCTTGTAAATTTACAGTTTTACTGGCAACCAAAATTGCCAGTAAGTTATTTTAAATGTTACAATACATTTTTGACAGTGCATATTTGACCCAACGTTGGGTCTGAGCACTTAATTCATAGTGAATCACTAAATAAGCACACAATATGGAATTTGCATTAAACTATTTTTGCATTTGAGCTTTATTTAAGCTTAAATAATATAAACCATATTTCCACATATTACACCATTGCAGAGATGGACTATTGCATTCATATGCTATATTTCCTACTTTGCTACAGCAACCAATTAGTTTGCTGCCATTATTTATGAATGATTCATTATTTAGAGTTCAAATAAAATTAAATATTTGTAGCATCTGTAGAATACTTTAGCTTAATGGAATATATATTTTGGGATAGTTAAACATTCAATTTGTATCGATTAATATTTATACAAATTTGGTTATATACTGTGCATATTCCTTTTAGTGTAGTGTCTGGGGTCATATTCACAAAACATTCATCTTACTCCTAAACATCAGGTAAGATTTTTTTCTCAACCTATTAACCTATTTTTTTCTTAACCTAAGCTGCTCAGACAAACATTTACTTTGAAATAAAGAGAGACCTAAGATAAGAGTAAGGAAAGAGTTGACCTTGTTGCTATGGGAGATGTCAGCGTGATTACTAACTATGCACAAAGTGATTGGCTGATGGGGAGGGGAGGAGTCTCTGTTAGAGATTCATTGTGGAATCTCTGTAGAGCATAATATTATGTTGCAATATTCAAATGAAAGTTTCAAAATAAAAGTATTGCTACATTCATAGAAAAATATAAAACAAATTCTCTGAATTTAGACTTTAAAAAAGATTTTCTTCCAGTGTTACAAACTTTGCATTTTCTTGAAAAATAATTGAGCTTTTAAATCACTTTGAAATATATACACACACACATATATATATATATATATATATATATATATATATATATATATATATATATATATATATATATATATATATATATATATATATTCATTAAAAATATATTTTTCCATTAACAAAGGTAAAAGCTCATTATGGTCAATGTTTTAAAACTGTTTTCTTTTTCAGGTAGATTGCCATCAACAGCCATTTTAGAATAGTTTGTGGTTTGTTCTTAGTCATTTAGGATTCATCTTTTCTACTTAATGTTTCACAGATTTAGAAGTAAGTTTTATAGCTAAAAAACTTAGTGTTTAGCAAAAATGTACTCACAGAAATAAAGGTACAAAACACTGTGGCAGGACCTTTTCAAAATGTACACTTTTGAAGCAAACAGGTCTACGTTTGTGCCTTAAAGGTACATATTCATACTTAAAAAGTATAAATGTGTGCCTATTTTTACTTTTACTTATAGTAAGTTGTACCTTTAAGGCCCATTCACACCAGGAAGCTGTTTGATCACGTTTTCCGTCTGCGCTTAACGCCTCGTGACTAACAGCACTTTGAAGCAAAAGCGCAAAACTGTCAATGCGAGTGGACATTGAAGAAGATGCCCAGAGTCGATATTAACGTGGAGCTGGTTATTGCACTGGTAAACAATACACATTTCTTCATCGCTGGCGCTGCTACTTGAATCATTCATTCTTGTTCAACTTGCCAGTAACTTTAATAACCAAACTTTCTGTTTTCTTCTTCTGTGTTACAAGCAGGTGTCAGTGGCTTAAAGTTGTTTAGCGCCATCTAACATCAAGAAATGATTTTGCATACTCTTCTGCTCGACGCCAGTGAAAATCGTTTGGGTTTGAATACCAAAAACGTCTCGAAAATGTTGACGATAAACACAAACGAAAAGTATCCCGGTGTGTACGAGCCTTTAGGGTAAAACAATGTGCAATCTGTAAGGTATAACAGTGTAGGTGTATGTTTGAAATGGTACCACCTCAGTGATCACCCTCAGAAATATAGGCATAAAACCGTGACTGGGTACATTTTTGTTCCCAAGGTATAAAAGTGTACCCTAAAGGTGTTAATGTCCATCTGTAAGGTATACTCATGATACACTCTCAGAAATAAAGGTACAAAATCTACCACTGGGTACAGTTTTGTTCCTAACAGGTCCCAAAGCTACATTTCAATACCTAAAAAGTAAAAATGTGTACCTCATAGTACCTTAATGGTACAAAAGTGTACCCTAAAGATTCTATTGTCCATCTGTAGGATACAAAAGTGTACATTGTGAAATTGTACCACTTCAGTAATTCACTCTCAGAAATAAAGGTACAAAATCTACCACAGGGTACATTTTGTTCCTAATAGGTCCTTAAAGAAAAACATGAATAACTAAAAAGTAAAAATGTGTACCTCATAGTACCTTAAAGGAACAACAGTGTACCGTAAAGGTGTTAATGCCCATCTGTAAGGTATAAAAGTGTACATTTTGAAAGGGTACCACCTCATTGACACACTCTCAGTACATAAAATCTATCACTGGGTACCATTTTGTTCCTAAAAGGTCCTTAAAGGTACATATCAATATCCAAAACAGTAAAAATGGGAACCTCCTAGTACCTTTAAGGTACAAAAGTGTACCCTAAAGATTCTAATGTCCATCTTTATTTTACAAAAATGTATTTTTTGAAAAAGTACCACCTCAGTGACAGATTTTGTATGTTTATTTGTATGTTGGAGTATATATATTGTAAACTTAGGATCTGCTTTTAGGCTTAATATGTATTGTGAATATGACCTCTGGTAATATTTCATATATACCTTTTGACTTAAAAAGCTTTAATAATGAGGGTACGTCTATCTGAAATATAAATAAATCCTGTACATAAATTAATTAAATGTCATATCAGAAATTTCTGTTTAGACGAGTTATAATTTACCCCAAAATGAAAATTATAGCGGAAAATGTTATCATTTTAAATTTTGATCATATATGACTTAAAAAAAAAAATAAAAAAAGTTCATTCAGAAATAAAAGTCTCTCTCTGTCTCTCTCTTTCTCTATCTCTATTATCATATTCTACTGTAATGTGAGTTTGAGTGGTGAACTTTCATTTTTGGATACATTATTTAACGCTGAAGGTTTAAAGTTTTTCATTCAGTATTTTAGAAGCAACAATGTCTATAGCAGCAGATGTACAGTAGACATAGAAGCACAGCATAACAATGAGACCGTCACACATGAAGCATAGAGGAATGATTAAGCAGAATTAAGCCAACACATTCAGGGCATCTGTGAGAATCTTCAGTTCATCTTTTATGGTCTCCAGGCCTTTCTGGATCTTCAGTGGGTTGTCCAGCACTTCTATGCTGTCCGTGTACGGATCGAACCGCACAGAAAACGGTCGCTTGATGCGGGTCACATATGTTCTGTAAATAATAATTAACAAATAAAAAACATTTAAGAAATAAAAATGTGATTAGTCAATTCATGCTGTTTTAAGGGATATGTCTTTAAAAAAAGTTAATTGCATTTTTTTAAAAGCTAGTTCAAAAAAATGATAGTTGACATACTGTGAAAACTTCAGAAAGTTTTATCTCATTATCGCATCTTTTTGCTTTGTGATTTTAAAACTATTTTTAATAAGAATAAAATCTATATTTTTTATTATTGTTATTATCGCTGATATTATTATTATAATTGTGGTTGTTGTTGTGTTGGTTGTTGCAATGTTATTGTACATTTCCAAATGCATGCAATAGGTTGTTTTCACATGACGTCATTGTTGACGCACAAAATTCAGATGGAGCCTCCATCTGAATTTATTTGTGTATGGAGGGCAGAAAGTGATTCTTCTACATTGGAATTGCTATCATAACATCAAAATGTTTATGTTTTGTGTTCTTTATAATTGTTTAAATTGATCAAAATAAGAAATGCTGAACAACTTTTATAGACTTCCAAACGTTTTTAGGTAGTTTAGGTAAGACATCTTGGACAATCAAGATTTATTTTTCACATTATTGTTTATTAGACTAGATTAGCAGGGATTTGATATTAGTAAGACTGTTTGGTTTTGATTGTTTCTTTGCTTTAGCGCCACCCATAGCCAGTCTTTCTAATTTATGTTTTGTTTTGGTTGTGAATTGTAAATATTGTAAATAGCTCACTCACTGCTTCACTTATCACCACCTGTAATAAATCACTTTATTTGCACAGCAATTCTTGTATGTGGTCATTACTTTGAGTACAATTTTCTTTGAGCGTTTATTTGAACAAAATCTTCGGTCAAGTGTGCAACCCCACTCCCCTAGACTACCCAGGGGTTGTTACACTCATAAAGGGGAGAAAGTAAAAAAAAAACTGTGTAAACGGAAGAAAAGGCAGCAGGTAATAAAAGTTCTTTTAATACATCCATGTGTACAAGCTTTTTTGAACATAAAAGTTTATAAACAGGCCTAGCTATGTGTATAAATATGTTAATGGATTATATAAAAATCAGAAGCAAGCACCACCACACTTATACAATATCCAGGAGAATATAAATAGCGTACTACGCCATGTAATCGCTGTAAGGAAATCTCCATCTTGTTTTGCAATAATCCAAGTCTTTACTGCGTTTCGGCGGAATAAACATGTGTAACATGAACATCAAGATGCGCAGCAGTGGTGAATGTTATTTGTTGATGGTAAGTTCATCGACAGAACAAAAAAGAAATGCAACCCTTGCGACAAAATTAGACAATTATTATTGTGGACCACTTTTCCCCCTAACATAAATAAATAATGAATATTGTAGACTATCCGTCCACGCTTTTGTGTGCTTTCATTTGTTATTTACTGATGCCTGGAAGATATCCGCATGGGGATTATAATCAACATTTTTTTAAACCACATAGTAAAGCGCATAATGTGTACAACTTTTTGTTAATGAATGCTACAGATTACTGTAGCATAGTAAACTGATAAACTGTAATAAATACTGTAACGTTAGTGTAAACTGGTGCATTATGATTAAAGCATAGAAAACTGAAGCCAATAGAATAATTTATTACAACAGTTGTGTTGTACCGCAGCAACAATATAATTACTACGACAGTTTAATTCAAGTTATTAACTATAATATGCTTCCAAACACTATAAAGTTAGTATTCACTATAGTATTTTTCAAGTAACATAATTATGTACTGCTTTGATTACAGACAAATATATTTTAGTTCAGTAGAAAAACACGACCCTCTTCATGATATAAGAATTATGCTCATGTGGTTATTTTCTAATTGTGTCTCCTTTTATGGCATTAATCGCAAAAATACGGACTGACTTCACCAGAACCACATGATTAAAAACAACCAATAAAGTATGTGTGTGTTGTTTTATTATATATATATATATATATATATATATATATATATATATATATATATATATATATATATATATATATATATATATATATATATATATATAATACACTTTTGTATACACTTTTGTATTAATTTTTTATTATTTTTCAGGTTTTTTTACAAACAACATAAAACTGCTTAGAATTTATTTTTAGGCTGTCGCTTTTTACTTTATCACCTTTTATCTTATGAGTAACTGTTAAAATGAAATATTAAACCTGCATCAATATATTATACTAAATGCCGCTCACCTTAGTTTCTCAGTAGCGTCCACAAAGCTTTCTGACACAAAATAGACAGGTTGGTAAGTCTGGTCTTGGTATGGCTGAACAGCAACAATATCTGGGTCAAATTCTCGTCTCTCTGGCTCATCTGAAAGAGAATGCTGAAAAAATGGGATAAAAAGATAAATATCAGCTTGCTTTGTTATAATAATAACAGTAAGAATTTTCACCACACTATATTGTCAGTTCATACAATTTACGTTGTAGATTACATTCGTCTTCTTAATATTAAATTTATTTTTACATTAATTACCAATAGAGCAAAAACAGAACATTTAGCCTTCGTCAAGGTGGAATTAAATTATTAAATTATTCCATCCACTATAATTAGCTGTATTTTTGTTTCGAGAATAGAAAGTTGTTATTCATCCTTTCATCATTCTGGCTTGAGGAAATGATTGAAAGAAACACTTGTTTTTTTATTTTATTTTATTTTTTATTTATTTGTTTTATAGTTTTGTTTTGTTTTGTTTTGTTTTGTTTTGTTTTGTTTTGTTTTGCTTTTGTCTTGTTTTGTCATTGTCTCTTGAGAACAGTATGACATGTCATCTAATACTCGATTTCTGTTCATTATTTCATAATTTCATGAATTGATTATATTATAAAATGCACTAAAATAATTCAATAAATTAGTCCTACAGTAAATTCTATAATAATGGTTTAATCCTTTCTTTCTCAGAAAACCAAACAGATGCATTTATTTTAGTTAAATAAGTTGTTAGATGTAAGTTGTTAAGACATATATTTATTTAGATATTAAATATAATTTTATGTTATTTTATATATTTTTATATAATTATGTTAAGCCTATATACAGACTCTGCCTATTTTTATTCTTAATTTTTTATGTTTTGGTTTAGATTATGATGAATTTACACTACAATTTTTTTTATTATTATTATTTATTACTGACTTTAAATAGTCTTCAGATTTTATAAAATATATTTTTTGTTCTTCTATTTAATTAGTAGGTCATGCCATAAAGTATATATGTAGTCAATATATATGCATGATTGTGTTCAGTATATATATATATATATATATATATATATATATATATATATATATATATATATATATATATATATATATATATATATATATATATATATATAATTTGTTTTTTCGAACAAGCAATGCGTTCCCTTTAAAAAACTTTCCTCAAAATACACACAGCAAAATAAATGTTTTTCTTAGTTTTTTTATAGTCCAAATATCTAAATATTCATTGGGTTTAGGGATGGGGTTTTGTGCCACACCTCCTTTTCAAAATCAAACATTTTCATAAGACTGAACTCATACGGATTGGTAAGGATTAGCCACTAAACTGACAAAACGTAAAATAGTTATTTCCTTGTGAGATCAGGCTGGATTGACAGATTATTTTGCTTGTTTCAAGGAAAAACTCACTTAATTTTAATATTATTTCTACAACTAAATTTTGTACTTGTCTAGACGCATCTTGATTTAAGAGTTTTTAGATATTTGGACTAAATATTTGGACTAAAGCACTTTATTATTATTTTTATTATTTTTTTATTATTATTGATTTCATTTTAAATGATCATTTTGACAAATAGCTAGTTATTGGAAAATACAGAAAGCCCTCCTTTTAAACAATGGTTACAATAATTGTCTCACTGTTTTCATTATAAAAATTTATGCAAATAGTTAAGATAAAAACTGAAAAGTTTTTCAAAATATAAAAACCCTTTGTAGGATTTCTAAAAAAAAGTGATAAAAATCTTTTGTCTATATAACTTCTATCTTGCGTCACCTTCTATTAATATGCCATTGTTTTAATGCATATTTATATTGTATGTGTATGTACATGGATTTATTTCTTACATACTTTTATTATTATTTATTTTAATAATGTTGTATGTTTCGTTTTCTTTTGTACATGTTAAAGTTCCTAAAAAAATTATGAAGACATGCAGTATTTAAAAAAAAAGATCATTTTGAGATTCAGTCATTTATACAAGGGTAAACAAATGACTTAAGGCCACCTACCACCAGCTCTCCATAGGATGACAGCAGTCCTGCTCCATACGCTTTAATCACCCCTCCCTGTTTACACAGTCCAAACTCCACAGTGAACCAGTACATCTGCAACACATACAGTAGTTAGTTTACATGTAAAATACTGAGTTTCATAAGCTTTGAGATGATTTATACTTACTGTCGATAGCTTCTCAATATCTTCATCAGAAGCTCCAAGAGATGCCAAACCAATACTCTGAAAGAACAGAGATTGAAGGACATAAATTAAAGATTGAATATGCACTTAATAAAAAGAAATGAAGGTAACACTTTACAATTAGGTTCATTAGTTTATGCATTTACTAACCTGAACTAATCATGAACAACACATGTACAGCATTTATTAATCGTAATTGAACATTTACTAATGTTTTATTACCATCCAAGTCAATGCTTGTTAACATTAGTTAATGCACCATGAGTTAACATGAACTAACAATGAACAACTTTATTTTCATTTACTAACATTAAATAACATGAACAAATACAGTAGTAAATGTATTGTTCATTGTTTGTTTATGTTAGTAAATGCATTAATTAACATTAACTAATGAACCTTATTGTAAAGTGTGACCGAATGAAAATATGCATTTAATGCTGATGCCTTTACCTGAGAAAACTGTGCAAATGTTCGATCAGACAATATCGGTACATGGCCGAGGAGTTCATGGACGCAATCCCTTAGAAGGGAAACAAAATAATAGTGATTATGAGTGCAAGAGTATTCATAAACTAATTAATTGTGGATGTTTTTAAACCATACACCAGCTATTGTTGTAAATTACACAGTATTTTAAAATGGCATTATGAAAAAGACTGCATATTTTAGATTTTACATATGCAATACTTTAAATGCACTTACAGCAAGATAAATGCCACTGTAAATTTAAATACAGTATTTTTGCAGTAATCGACTCACAGTAAGTTACTGTATGAATTGCTGCCAACAAATTGCTGTAGATTTTACAAGAAATTATTAAGTGTTTAAATACACTATATACAGTTTATAAACACTTTATAAAAACATATGTGCTTTTGTAATTACAGTAAGGATTGTTAGGTAGGGTTTAAATTGGTTCTTTGCTTATAAATGTACATACATTTTATGTTTATTTGTTTTTAAACAACAGCACTTGCAGATAATAATTTCAACAAAACGTGAATTAAAGTGAGTACGTTTTCACTTGCAGTTGTAAGGAAATTTTACTCTAAAGAACATTTTAAATGATTTTTGTAAATTACAATTGATACAGTTATATCATACTTAAAGGAAGAACGCAAATTTGTATCTGTTCACAGACATAAACTGTAAATGCTTTTTGTAAATTACACATTGATTAACTGTAATATGAACTGTATTTTAATGTAGGACAGTTATACAGTATGTTACTTTATTTTAAAGTTGCATTATAAAATATTTTACAGTAAAGATACACAACACTTTAAATGCATGTACAGCAAAAGAAATGGTGCTCTAAAACAGTAAATTCAGTATTTTTGCTGTAATTGATTAATGGTATGATATTGTATTGGTTAAACTGCAGCCAGTAAGTTACTGTAGATTCTACAAGAAGTTGTTAACAGTGTAGCCCACTAAAGCACCATAGTGTTTTATTCAAGATTACATTTAAATGTAAAATACTGTGAATTGAAATACAAGTCAAACAAACTTCTTTAAAATATTTTTTTATGATACCATGAATTCTTTTGAATAAATTAAAATGTTTTTTAAAATGTCCTGCTGTCAAGATTATTTTCTGTTTTGGTTTAGAGCACAACACCAATGTACAAAAAAATGGAAGAGAGTATGTTTTAAGTATAGGCAAAAGCAATTGCAAAAATGTCCTATTTCGTGTGGATCAGTCGAAATTGAATTTACACAAAAATACAGTATTATTTAAACTAGTTAATGCTAGTAAAAAATATTTTATTGTTTGTGCCAGTCCTGGAGTTGGCAATGTAACTTTGTAAAAGAAACAATTTGTACCTGCACATACACATTTCGTCACCTTAGAATTATGAGGTTTCATCTGCATTCTAAATGATTTTGAGATATTGAGCTTCAAAGTTTTAGCATTCCATATACAGTAACAAACAATGTGTAACAGTTCTCTTTCATACATTAACATGACAGAGACCCTAAGGATTCTCTAAATGTAAATTATCAAAGTTCTCTTACATTTGCAAATTGGATTTAAAAAAAAACCACGATAAATGCAAATAGGACCTTCTAATTCAAAAAAGTCATTTTTTAATAATAATTATAAGGTTCTATCTGGAAGATCATTCAATGAAGCATTACTTTTCAAGAAATACAATCAAAAATATATAAGTTTGATATATAAGTTGGTGTTGAACAATATGTTGATTTGTTCAATTTTTGCTTTCTATTACATTTATTTCATATTTTAGGATGAATATTTTTTTTCTAGTTTAAATTAAGCATACAAGGCTGTGGTAAATATTTTTATTCAGTGCAGATGTTAATTTTATCTAATTAAAATGGTAATATTTATAAACGTTATGCTTTATAGGAATTATTGAATTATATTTATTGAATTATTTGCCAAATGAATTAAATAAAGTATTTGCCCTTCAAGGCTTAATATTAAATTTAAAGACTTTAAAAGAAACAGACTATGACTGAATGAGTTTAATAAACACTGAAAAGTGTTTCACTGACAATATGTTAACAAATAAATATATTTCACATTTAATATATACATTTTTTAATATTCATCTCTTTTTCAACAATGTAAAATTTAACATTTCATTATTATATAGCCGACTGATTTTGTGTGATTTTGTCTTTCTGGTGTTTCCCGCTGTCAATGGAGCAGTCTGGCAAAATGACAAAGAAAGCTGATCCTGATTGGTCCTTGTGCGTGCATTAAAAATGCTGATTGGCTCACAGAAAAAACCTTATAGAACCAAGCTAGAGTTCGACTTTGTAGATCGGTTTTGTTTTTTTAAATAAAAAGTTTTTCAAATATAAGCAACTTATAAAAAACAGCCCATAAGATAAATAGGTTGTCATTTAATAAGAATATGAGAATACCTTAATTTTGACAAAAATGTCAGATAGAGCCTTAGAATTCTAAGGTGATGATTTGTGTACATTTAAACCTCCCCTGTATTATGGTATTACTGTGATGGTTATTTACTCGTCATCCCTTTAGATAAACAATGTAAAACTGATGCATTACTTCACATATAACAAATGCAAATTCTTTAAAGTAGTTTATTAAAGCTGGAATGATCAATGCCTTGCAAATCGATAAATGGTTCAGCATTGATTCTTAGATTTCCCAAATGCATTACAATTCTCTCTAATTGAGATTAGTTTTGAGCAACAATTGCCACAGTGTGCTTTTACAAACAGCCGTATTACATCCGATTCACACGAGGCTTCAGCGTCAACGCTTGACAGAGGGCGTGTCTGCAGTTGGGGCTGACGCAATTGTCATAGCAGCATCAGCCAATGAAACAAGTCTGCTAACGGCTACTGCCTGAGCTGGGGAATTTGCATCAAGCGATCTGATTGGCGGACGCTTTCGTTTTTGAAATTTTAAGAAATTCCCACTTTCTGCAACGAGCAACGACCATGAAGAAGCCACCATTCAGTTCGGCAACACTTGACGTCACCCATTCAAAGTGAAATAATCATTATGGAGTTAGCAAAGGTTTAAGTGAATACAAGAATTGATAGTAAGCTATTTATATACATTTTGTGGCTTAAAAGCTGAGGAACGTGTACATTTGACCATTTGCAGAACGTCTTAGCCGCTGTGTAAAACATATGCCAGAGTAGTTGGCAGTTCATTCCACTGTGGCAAGTGAAAGGGAGGAAAGGAATTTTTTTTCTAATAAGCATTTGTTTTAATTATGCAGTACTTTTTAACAAGGATTACAATTTTGTTTTTGTTTTATTTGATTTTTGTACAGCACCTTTCATTTTATTTGACCTTTTTAGCAGGTTTGGATGAGTGCACCAAGCCTACGCCTTGATATAAATCAATGCTTAATAAACAGGAAGTGTCTTGATAAATGTGAAATATGTGACAGGAAGTCTCTTACGGTTCAGGGGAGTGCATGGGGGAGGAAGCGTGCCGTATGTACTGTGTGCACTGGAACACACGAAAAGCCAGGCTGGCCAAAAAATCGCGTGCTGAGAGCAAACCTGCCACTGGCCTCAACTGAAATCCTGTGCGTTCTTTATCCATGAAAAAAGATCAAACAGAGAGAGAGAGAGAGAGAGAGAGATTGGTCTGTCATTCTGTCATTCTTACTGGTTGTCACATTTCAATGTCATCCTGGTTGTTTGCTATGACAATAGTATTTAGGTGTTTGAAGTATCTGCTACTGCATTGTTACAGTAAGTTGTTTCTAGGGTTTCTGGTGGTTGCTAGAATATTCATGGTAATTTTGATGAGCTGTGTTGATGCCTGGGTTTTCAGAGGGATTTGCTATGCCATAGTAGGGGTTACAGTTGAAATAAGAATTATTGAACCCCCTTTGATTTTTTTTTTCTTCTTTAAATATTTGCCAAATGATGTTTAACAGAGCAAAGAATTTTTCACAGTATGTCTGATAATGATTTTTCTTTTGGAGAAAGTCTTATTTGTTTTATTTTGGCTAGAATAAAAGCAGTTTTTAATTTTTTAAACATCATTTTAAAGTCAAAATTATTAGCCCCTTTAAGCTAATTATTTTTTAATAGTTTACAGAACAAACCATCATTATACAATAGCTTGCCTAATTACCCTAACCTGCCTAATTAACTTAATTAACCTAGTTAAGCCTTTAAATGTCACTTTATAGAAGTGTATAGAAGTGTCTTGAAAAATATCTAGTAAAATATTATTTACTGTCATCATGACAAAGATAAAATAAATCAGTTATTAGAAATTAGTTATTAAAAATATTATGTTTAGAAATGTTTTGAAAAAATCTTCTCTCCATTAAACAGAAATTGGGGAAAAAATAAACAGGGGGCTAATAATACAGGGGGGTAATAATTTTGACTTAGTAGTCTACAATTTGCTCATTCCCAATGATGGTTGGGTTTGGTAATAGCCCTCTAGAACCGAATCGTGTTTCAGACTGTTGAATGATTTTTTTCTGGTATACACTGATTGGCATGATGCCAATATGCATTTACAATGGTATGCAACATCATAGGGGTGGACAAATGCATATTTATATAATCTCTTGTTTTAATTAATGTTATTATTTAAGATACAGATTAGAACAAACTATTTCTCACTATTAAGAGGGCTGACCTCCCATACATGTTGTTTTGATGTCCTTCAGAGTGAGAGCAAGAATTAATTAGGGCGGTCAATCCCCCAAAACCCATGTAATTTACACTCTGCCCACACCCCTAAACCTCACTACCATCAAAGTCATGTCACCAATGTAAGCTCCCAGGTTCTTGCCTCACTCTAAGCAGTATTCAATTAAGCCTAAAGTGTTAACAAACTAACAAGGATGCAATATTGTGAGCAAAGTTTGAAAGAAATCTAAAAAAAAAAAAAAGTAACTATTTCTGGTTTCTTTCAATCTTACTGGAAAGTCTGAAGACCTATTTATGGAATCAACACAATTTGTTCTAATATACAGTTATGTATTTGTGCTGTTTTCTGGCTGTGCTATAATCTGATTGGTACCTTTTAAGAAGCAGGACACATCCTCCAGCTGAGGGATGTTATCTGGGCTGTAGCCGCAATGTTTCTCCAGTAACCGGAAAGCCTCTAAATGTTCACTGCAGGCGTGGGTCGTGTACAGATCTCGGAGGGTGGAGTAGACCTCCCGCCTGCACACATTTGGTTGCAATAAAGACATGATATGAGAATATCTGCCTGTGTTTATCTATTTTGTTGCTTATTTCAACACAACACACCATGTTCCGATTTCTTCCTCTGTATAGTCCACTCTAGGAATTGGTTCTCCACTAAAAACAAACCAAAAAACAAACAGGGTTCAATCAAATAAACGTGCCCTCATGTGCTGAAGCAAACACACCATGCTAATGTTGTGTCCCAGCAGGCACACAACATCATAAGACGGTAATATTAGGTTAGATTTAGGTAATGACGTCAGGTGACCAAATTAAATTTCTAGCCAACGTCCAAGGAAAACGTTATTTTGACGTCCAATAACGTCGTCAAATTACGTTGATATTTGGTTGATTTTAGGTTATGTTAAAAAGTTACCAAATGTCTGATAGGTGTCATAGCGGTAACGTCCACGCAATGTCAAGATGTAACATGACTAGACGTTGATATTTGGTTAATTTAGGTTGATTTTAAGTTGGACATTGGAAATTAACGTCTGCCTGACATTGGGTTCTGACGTCAACATGATTTTCATTTTCAAACAAAATCCAATGTCCCCACAACGTTAGGGTACAACGCTAATATGACATCATGTTGACATCCTGTGCAAGCAGGGTCGTTGCAACACACTGTCTGTATTTGAAGGCAATGTCTCCGATCATCTTCCGTCGTTTTCTGTAAACAGGGTCAGTAAATCCCTGCAAAAGAAATCAAAAATAACTGTGTTTGTTATGCAAAACAAGTTTACAGTATGTTTAGATTATGTTTGGAACATACTTTTTGCATTTAGTTATTTTAATATATTTTCTTTTTTTATTTTATTAGAAATTAATAATCCAGCACTTACTGGGTGATCCTGATCCAGATCCGGATCATATTTGGTGACAAGATGATGGCATTTATCAAGCTCAGCTATTTTTCTGGGAAACCAATGAACTGGGAGGGAAAAGTACAAAAAAAAAGTTATTTTCACAATAATTATTGCTTCAAAGCAATAAATGGTGCACATTGTTACATTACATTTAAGGTAATAAGTGTCACAATCACCAGCGATCTTAACTCGATCTTAACTCGATCTTAACTAAGATCGCTGGAGAACATTCACATTTACATGGACTACATCCCTGCCTCCCTATGGAGTACAAGTTCCAGTCATGCAACACACACACACACACACAGACACCTGCTCCAAGTCTCCATACGCTTATTTCATTTTAAACAACATTTTAAAACACAAAAGCGAGGTTGCTGTGGGAACAAACCCAGAGTTATGGAATTTGGTTACTTTCGCTTCACTGATAAGATATAGGCCCAATCCCAATTCTATTTTTGTACCCCTACTCCTTCCCTGCCCCCCTTCCCACTGGCCCTTAAAACCGAGTGTGAAGGGGAAGGGCTGCAAAATTTACCCCTGAGAACTGGGACAGCATTACAACACCTGCACTTGTCATCATATGTCATTGCAATCTCTTGCCTTTATATAAGATCAGACGATCGCGACTGTTGTAGTTACTCCAGTTGTGTTATTTTTTTTTTACTATTTGGAAATCACTGAAGGCATATATTATGTTATTATAAGGATCTAAGGTGACAATAAGATCATAATACTGAGCATTTAACACAGTGGCCATATTCATCTATTTAAACACACCAAAAACAACATTAACATTATAGAAAACACTGTAAAAAGTCCATTCCCAGCCACTAGACTTATCTGACAGGGGATTCGAGTGTCATCGAGTGTCAGAATGTTGTAGGACTGCTGTACAGGAGTTAGGATTATGGATTATAGATCGCGAAATTTACCGATTTTTATTTTAGCGTTTTTTTTTTTTGTTTGTTTGTTTTGTGTTTTTTTAAGCATAATGGTTTTTAATAACATTTTTAAAAACTGATTTATTTTATCTTTGCCATGATGTGACAGTACATAATATTTTACAAGATATTTTTCAAGACACTAGTATTTAGTTTAATGTGCAATTTAAATGCTTAACTACACACACACACACAAAAAAAAAACTCCTACTTGAAAAAAGTTTAAAATACTTTTTTTGTTGTTGTTGGTTTGGCAAAAATCAGTAAAAATCTCTGTACAACTACATTTAACACCTTTACTTGACCTACATCAAAATTCTCTTCATTAGAAGGCACCTATAGTAAAAAATCTACTTGTCATGCTGTTTGAACAGACATTTGTGTAGGTATAGTGTATAGACTGTCATATTGGGGTGATATAAACACACCCAGTGCTTTTTTTCAATTTAATACCATAAAATCGGTGGACCAATTGGAGCGGTTTATAGATCAACTTGACGTAGAAATGCGGTCCTCCCGCCCACCAATTATTGATTGACAGGAGCACATTACCATATCCTCAGTTTGTTGTTTCACGTCCGCCATTTTCAGCGTGTGAGTCAAAGCGATGTCACCAAAGCAACACCCTTGCACTATTTTTGGATGTAAGGCTCACTGGGCTTAACACAAGAGCCTTCATCGTCTTCATCTTCATCTTCTCGTCTTCGTCTTCCACTAGCTCTAAACACGCAGTGACTGCATCGTATTGAGATTCGGGCTGATCCACCGAGTCTTTCCGCACTCTCTCCAAAAACATTTCATTGATCTCAGCTGGCGGATCAACATTCACCACATGATGGTTCTCATCTGCGACATTGTTTGTAACTTTAGGTGGGTTTTCAAACCTGTGTACTTATCATTGCGTCTTTCTTAAACTTCAGCCGTTTGCATTTCCAGCGGTCACAGAAGCTCCCTGTCATCTCAACTAGGTGTGGCTGTAAAGAGCGAGTGCATTGCCTCGCGTTGTCCCTCCATTGGAAATAATGAACTTGCCTTAGTTATAGCCTCAGTCAAAGTAAGTCAGTGTGCGTGGTTATTAGTCTTGGTGTACAAGCTCGGAACTTTAAACTAGCACATAGTTGGCTTTGTTCAGTGGCCGCAGTTTTGTTCTGTGCAGAAACACAGTGTTGAGAAGTCTTTAATATTAATTAACCGTGATAAAGTAAATGACTGCTAATAGGGAAACCGGTTAATCGTTACCGATCTGAGCTTGGGTCATACATGTATGGTTGAATGCTGGTCCTCTCACTCATGTTGCTTCTCTCTGTCTGCCTGTCTGTTGCCATACACAAAGCGGGGGAGCTCTTGGCTCTGCCCCCTTGTAAAATGGGCAGAAAGTAATTTTCAGGTGAAGCAGCACACTCCTAAAACAGTGAGCTGTGTACATCCCCCCCCCCCCCCCCAATGATACTTTTTAATACATTATAATTAAAAAAAACCTAAATTGTGCTTTGAACAAACCTAAACTGGCACACTCAAAGGTACCGTAATATTAATATTAAATCTTTAAAAAGGGGTAAAATAGGTGCCCTTTAAGAAAAAAAATGGCAACACTTTATTTTCATGGTCCATTTGAGCATTAGTAGACTGTTTAATATCTTTTGATTCTGCTCCTTCAACAGACATTTAACTGACTATAAGAAACTTTGCAAGTACATGTCAATTTACACTTACCCTAACCCCAGCATAACAGGCTACTTTTAATCAATTAAGAATTAGTTGGCATGTAGATGCAATGTAACAAACGGATCATCAAAATAAAAATAAAGCGTGACCAAAAATTTTGTTTTGTGAGCAAAACTTTGCAAGTTTTCCCCAAAAAGCTTCTGCCAACTTGTTGCTTTAAGCTGAGTTAATCTCAGACCTCCTCACTTGAAAAAATAGAGGTTGCAGTATTTCTAACCCTAACAACAACAACAAAAATAATAGTAACACTGTTAATAACATTAATTTCATTATTATTAACAACAACAACAAAAAACACAACAGCAATGATGCTGACATCATTTGAAATTATTATTCATTTGCAATATATCATATTTACCTAGTTTATTCTACAAAAAGAAATGCTTATCACATGTTGACTGTTCATTTGAATTTAACTGTTGCGTATGTGGCGATTCATTCCGCTGTGGTACTCCCTGATTAATAAAGGGACTAAGCTGAAAAGAAAATGAATGAATGTAATGTATATATGGAAGTTTTTCCTAACAAATTTGAAATGACATTTCAAATACCTGTGCATAGTTAACCTGCAGTCATAAAATGCAGTGTCCAACAACCAAGCACAACAGAAAATCAAAAACAAAGCAAGGTCACAGGTTAACAGACTTACATTTGACCTCCTTTGTGGTTTTGACATCCTCTGCACTTCTCTTCAAAGAGCTGACCAGCGTGCTAACATCCGACAGGTGCACTTCACACTGAACATAATATTCTAGGTCCTCCAAGCCATCCTTTGGTTTTCGGCTGGGTCTGGTTTCAAGATGGTGGATTTTGGCCTCAAATGTCTGTGGTGTTCAATTGATATAATAAAATAAATATTATGAAAATAGTGCTCAAAATTAATGTAATATCTTAAAATATAATTTAATGCTTATTAATACATAACAAGATTTAACATCAAACACAATCAAAATATATTTAACCCTTGTGCACTGTTAAAGGTTTAAAAAAATCCACTCCACAATCACATTTTACATTGAAAATACAACATTTTGTGCATTTTTTTCATCAAATCAGTGACATAATTTATGAATTTGGCAATTAAAGAGTTAAAATCATGTACTTTTTTAAACAATTAAGTAGTTTTGATCAGTACTGAGGTTGATTAACAGATTTATGCCAAATAAATTAAGATAAAAATATCTTATGCATTTTTACAGCAGTTTAATTCAGTGGATGTTTTCATCCCTAACATAACAAATAGGTAGTAAATTCTTACAGAGTGTAAAAAAACTCAAAGCATTGTCCCAAAGTGAAGAAGTGCCATCTAAAAATTTCCTTTAAAATTAGCATTTTTTTCAGCCTACTATGAATTAAATGCAACGAAAATAACCTATTCTTTAGGAACTACACACCGCAATCAGAGAAAATTTTTATTTTAGATGAAAATTTCACACTGCACTTAGAGGTTTTTGCATCTAAACTCTTCAAATGTAAAAGTTTAAATACAGATATTGTTTTTGTTTTATACTCCATATACAGAAAACAGATATATTTTTCATATACTCTGTATATTTTAGATTATATTTAAATTAAAGAGGTAGAATTTAGCATTCAGGCATATTTAGAAAATACAAATACAGACAGTAACTTGGGCAATGTATACTGGCCATAGACAAACAAGGCTAAAAAAAACAGCTGCACTGAAATAACTGATTCATTGGATTTACTAATTTTTTGAAGATAGGTGGTTGCAAGCATTTTATATGTGCTAAATTTAAACAAGCAAAGTTGAACATCACTAAATTTAATTTAGTGAAACTGTTTCAGAAACTGTTTACAACCACTGAACTTTAAAAAATGTAAAAAGTGTTAAAGAAAAATATTAAAGTGTGCATGTCAAAAATGTAGACTGTGGATTTTGTTGTCACTTAAAGTAAGTGTATACAAAGAGAAATCTATACCTAAGTATAATTGAAGAATTACGTTTATGTCATGAATTTGGAACATGAATAAGCTCTCTCTCTCTCTCTCTCTCTCTCTCTCTCTCTCTCTGTCTCTCTCTCACTCTCTCTCTCACACTAATATATATATATATATATATATATATATATATATATATATATATATATATATATATATATATATATATATATATATATAGAAGATTGGGGGATTAGGGTAATTAGGCAAGTTATTGTATAATCATGGTTTGTTTTGTGGACTACTGAAAAAATATATAGTTTAAATGGGTTAATATTATCTACTTAAATTTTTTTTTATTATTATTATTATTAAAAACTGCTTTTATTCTAGCTGAAATAAAACAAATAAGACTTTCTCCAGAAGAAAAAAACATTATTAGACACAGTAAAAATTTCCTTGCTCTGTTAAACATAATTTGGGAAATTAAAAAATAAAAATAAAAATAAAATGGGGGCTAATACTTCTGACTTCGACTATATATATATATATATATGGAAAAAAAAAACAGAATTTATCCCATACAAAAGCTCTTTTGTTATATTTTGACCACTAACCATCATAAATATTAAAAATAACCCAGGGAAAATGTTTTTAAGACCAAGTGAAATCCTGTTTGTTGTCGCTTCAGAGTGACTTCAGCTAATCAGTTTTGGCCATGCAGTGCATACAATACGACATCCAGCTGTGCAAGAAAACATACAATCTAATGAAGTGAAGTAACCTTTTGCTACTGTATTGTTTTTAAATAGGGAAAACGTTTTACAAGTAAATCTTGGAACAAAAAATAACCAATGAAAAGCTGCGCAGCACCAAAAACGACTGATAATAAGATTAGTTCGAATACTATTTTGGCTGTTGTTACTATCAATTAATTTTTAAATGTTCTTTCTTTGGTTAGGATGGCCATCCAACAATACATTTTAGCAAAATAGTGCTAAAAATGTCAAGAAAATGCAACATTTTATTTTCATAATTATATAGCAACCTAAATGAAGCCTATAACAGCAAAAAGGTCCAACTTTTGAGAAAAACAGGACTACCCCTTTGACCTTGCTGGCTACAGGCCTGTTATAAACATATATTCTTGACCTAAATAACGTCTTAATGCAAGTTGGCCATCACTTTTTTGCTAACTCAATCATTTACGTACAGTTGAAGTCAGAATTATTAGTCTCTATTTGAATTTTTTTCTCTTTTTTAGATACTTCCCAAATTATGTTTAACAAGACAAGAAAACTTTCACAGTATGTCTGATTATATTTCTTCTTCTGGATTTGTTTTATTTCGGCTAGAATAAAAGCAGATATTATTTTTTTAAACATATTTTTTAGGACAAAATTATTAGCCAATTTAAGCAATTTTTTTTCATTAGTCAACAGAACAAACCATTGTTATACAATAACTTGCCTAATTACCCTAACCTGCCTATAGCCTATTTGACCTAGTGAAGCTTTTAAATGCCACTTTAGCTGTAAAGAAGTGTCTTGAAAATATCTGGTAAAATATTATGTACCGTCATCATGGCAAAGACAAAATAAATCAATTATTGTAAATGAGTTGTTATATGTTTAGAAATGTGTTGAAAAAAAATCTTCTCTCCGTTAAACAAAAATTGAGGAAAAAAAAACACGGGGTCTAATAATTCAGGGAGGCTAAAAAATTTTACTTCAACTGTGTGTCAAAGACCAAATACCTTTAAAAAATAATTGACAAACTAAATAATACAGAAATAAACTTCAACCTAAATTTATCGCGTCAGAAAGTGCTGTCTTTTTTTTAATGAAATTAAAAAACATTATGTTAGCCTACCTCGAAAACCTTCAAGGTGCGGGACAGCGCAGGGCTTTTAGAGCACCTGAGAGTGAAGAAGAGGCTGATCAATGCTTTTCCATCGCTCTCCTCAAACACGATCTGCTCGCTCAGTCCTGCAGCCTCCGCCGCCGCGGCCGCCGCCTCGCGCTCCTTACGCGCATCCTCGATCAAACTCTGCCGCCTCCCAACAAACTTCTGAGACTGTCGAAAGAGAAAACCACAAATTACATCAAAAGACACATTTTTTAATCAGTTTTTTTTTTCAAAAGCATCTAAACTGGGAATAATAATGTAGTCCCGCTTACCTTGTGGACATCAGATGGAGGTGATTTACATCTCCAAAAGCGCATAAGAACTTCAATGCAGTCTATGTAAACCTGTCGTATAGCTCAGATTTAATAATTTGCTCTTAATAAAAATACTTCTCTATATTGGGCTTTTTATAGCGTTGTCGACTGACGGCTGAACGCTGTGCGAAAATCTTAATGGAGATTCCGTTTACGCACAGCAAAATCAGTTGGGGTAGAGGTGTTTCTAAAATGATGATCCATACAAAATATTCATTGAACACATTATTTGACTAAATTAATTGCATTAAAACATTGCATATTAAACTAATGCTGTAAGTGACAGCAGCAAACAAAGGCTGGACGAGATCATTTATTTCCATGTATTGTAATGTATAATTTTATTGAGTGTCTTAAGTTTATTTATTATTTTTATTACAATGTTATGTTTTTATAACAATATTCTATGATAAAATTATACTAAATAAATTGCATTGTATTATATACGTAATCAATGACAAATTAAGACACTCAAAAAATGATACAATAAATTGCAACAAGGAAATATACACTACTATTTGTGAAGTTACAAGGTTAATCTATAATTTTATTGATTAGATAGATAGATAGATAGATAGATAGATAGATAGATAGATAGATAGATAGATAGATAGATAGATAGATAGATAGATAGATGGATGGATGGATGGATGGATGGATGGATGGATGGATGGATGGATGGATGGATGGATGGATGGATGGATGGATGGATGGAGGGATGGATGGATGGATGGATGGATGGATAGATAGATAGATAGATAGATAGATAGATAGATGATAGATAGATAGAGGAACCGAATTCAGTCTCTAGAATTCAAGATCATTAAGTTTTAAAATGAGGCGTTAAGGATCAAGGGATCAAATATTTGCCGAATTTGCGTATATTTGTGGATTGATCAGTTAATTCTTACTTCGTAAACTATTTAAATGTCAAAACTCTAAATAATTAGTAACTACGCTTTTACGCATCTCCATGAGTAAAATATTCTCCATGTTATTATCAATGTAAGCAGCGAAATTGACGTGAAAGAAATGTTAAATTAATGTTTCTCTCTATTCATTTTGTAATTCTAAACATGTTGAAGTGGACAATGTAGTCAAAAATTCCTACCGTAATAGAATCTGAGCGCTCGAGTTCAGACGCAGCTCTCCGGATGCTCTTTGTGGAAGATGTGGAGCTGCTTGAATTCGGCATGTTCAGATGGCGCGCGCGCGGAACAGATGGAACTATATTGTGGTCTCTTGGGAGCGCTGGACACTTACTTTCATGCAGCCTTATTTCCCCCTTATTTATAGAGATCGTTTCTCTTGACTGACGTCAAACCGACCCCCTCCTTCTCCGTCATTGAACATCTTGAAGCCCCTCGCAACGCATTCGTTCATAATTTGATTCTGACTTTGCTGCGTAACCGTCTGTTTACATTTCCAATGCGCGCGTCTCTCTAAACTATTCTCATTTGTCACGTATTAGTTTATGAATGAACAGCCTGCACTGTTGAAAGTGACAACGATCAATAATTTAAACAACTTTTCCTTCATTAAATCTCTTTTGCTGATATATATGTATTTGATGTAATTAGAATTGTCATATTAATTTCCAATTCAACTAAATTTCCCAAAAATTACAACATTAACCCAAATCAGTGTTTTTTTTATTCAAGATGAATCAAATTAACCTAATGAGTATTTTGAACTTAAATTACAATAAACTGCATCACAACAGCTTTTATAACTTAAAAATAGATTAGAAGCATGGTTAACTTTACTTATTTACTGACATATGATTGATTAACTTTACTGATTATATATTTTACAGTGAAGGCAAATTAAAATAAATCAAAGAGTCATTTGAATGTTTCAAATGACATTTGTGAAAATCATTGTCAAAATATTATTGAAATTATGATACTTTTTTTATTCTGACCTGCTTATTAATTTCTATAAGTGAATAAGTAACCATACAGTGTTTTATTTCATTTTAAGCAATTAAAAAGTTCTTGCAATCAAGTAGGCAAAGAATAATGGCAAAGTATAAAGATCTAAAATTAAAATTACACTATATTTTAAAACCCCGCCGTCACTTTTAAATAGCCAATTTTAACATGTCATGAAATGATTCTTGTGTTAAAAGACAAGATTAATGTTATGATTTGTTTCTGTTTGTTGTAAATAAACCAATGCTTGCATGAATAACATTTTAGAGAATGTCTTCTTTAAATTATGGTTGAAGGGTATGATATAAACAACAACAACAACAATCACTGGTTGCATGTTCGTCCCATTTTACGTGAGCACATGTTGTTTGTGTCCTCTCCTGTCTATTGTCTAGTCCCCCATCCTTCTTGTTAACCCTTTATTAGTTTATTATGTTCACCTGATTGTGTTGTTAATTATTTCTGCTTATATTCTTATCATGTCTGCTGTCCTGTGCCAGTTTGTCGCCATTTATCTCCTTGTCCTATTGTGTGTTCCAGCCCTGATTCCTTTCCTAAAGCGACTATGCTTTGGTCGGCGAGGTGCAGGAAGTATACTTATTACTAAGTCATTCTTGCATACTATTTCAAACCGAAAATTCAAAGTAGCATAATAAATTAAATAGGGAGCGTGTCACAGGTCGTCATTGTTCAAAAAAGAACCATAGTGAATGTAAAAGCAACTTCACCTCAGTAAAGCAGGCTATGCGGAATAGTGCATTTAAGTATGTTTTGTTATTAATATAAATAAAAATCTGCATTATTGATGCTGTAAAAGGTCCATTAAGAAACTGAAAATAGTCACATCAATCTTTCGCCACAAGATTTCAGTGGTTGAACAACACTTCTGTGCATATAATTGATTTGTAAAACAACAAAAAGCTTTGCGTGATTACCATAGTTTTAAAATATAACATTACCTGTCTAAAAGAAACACTTCAGCCATGTCTTCATCCTTTCTCCAATGTGCAAGATGAACTCCAATATTGATTCAGGATTTTAAAAAAGTTTTGATTCAGCATTTGTTTTTACTCCTGTCACTCTCTTATGTGCACTTGTGCAAACGGCAAATCTATCTTTAAACTAATTTTAATTGTATGAACATTTTTTTTGTGTTATGCCTTACACAGAATATAAAAATACATGTAAATACAATATCAGTGGTGTTCATTCATTAATTTTTTTTTCAGCTCAGCTCAGTCCCTTTATTAATCCGGCGTCGCCACAGCAGGATGAACCACCAACTTATCCAGCACGTTTTTAAGCAAAGGATGCCCTTCCAGCTGAAACCCAGCTCTGGAAAACATCCACACACACTCATTCACACACGCACACACTCATACAGGACAGACAATTTAGCTATCCCAATTCACCTGTACTACATGTCTTTGGACTGTGGGGGAAACCGCAGCACCCGGAGGAAACCCACACAAACGCAGGGGGAACATCCAAACTCCACACAGAAACGCCAACTGAGCTGAGGCTCGAACCAGCGACCCAGCGACCTTCTTGCTTTGAGGCAACAGCACTACCTACTGCGCCACCACTAAATCAGCGGTGTAAAGTAACTATTTACAATTACTTAGATTACTGTAATTGAGTAGTTTTTCTCAGGAATTGTAATTTTGCTAAGTAGTTTTATAAATGTGTCCTTTTACTTTCCTTTGAGTACATTTTTAGTGCTGTATCTGTACTTTTACTCCACTTCTTTCATTCAATCTGCTGTCAATACTTTACTTTTTCTTGTCTATGGGGATTAAAAAAATCTGTCCTTTGATCAAATCACACTCAGAAGGTAAATCACATCATAATGAACTACCTCAAGACAGGCGCGATTTATAATTGCAGCAAACTGTTTGGAAGCATGCCCAAAAAGATGTCCAAAATCTTTACATGCAATGACCCAGAGGCTGTTTAGATGCATGGTACTGGTGAGAAGATGACGTTTACTGTATGATGACCGAAATGGCCTTAAACACCCAGCAGACAGAAGACGCCAACATGAAGTCAGATTGACATTGTACTCTAACGTTATAGACATTGCATTTTCTTTGGAAATGAAAATCAGTTTGACGTCAGAACTCAACGTCAGACTATTGTCAATGTCCAACGTCCAACCTAAAACCAACCAAATTTCAATGTCTAATGATGTTGCAGCTTGACGTTGTGTGGACTATGACATCTATTAGATGTTGGATTTTGGTTGCCATACCTGATAATTAAATGTCAGTATTTGACATCAAAATGACGTCAAATACATCATATGTTTAAGATGTTTGATTTTGGTCACCTAAAATAAACCAAGTATCATCGTCATTATTGGACATCAAAATAATGTTGTCCTTAGACGCTGACTAGACATTAAATTTTGGTCACCTGACGTCTTGACTTAAATCTAACCTAATATTAACATTCTTATGATGTTTTGTGCCTGCTGGGCAATAATTAGATGCATTACAGAATGTTGTTTACACACACATGCACAAATTAGATGTAAATGCATCAGCTTTTTACAGCGCAATACTCACTAATCACTACTCTGGAGTACTTTTAAAAGGGCTAATTTTTACTCATACTTTGATTAATACTTACAACAGGTACTTTTAGTCTACTTGCACTACATTTTAGTCAAGTAATGGTACTTTTACTTATGATTTTCCAGTACTCTTTCCACCACGGATTTAGATAATTTACTTTTATCATTACTATCGGAATGTGAGTAGACTTTCAATCAGCACCACACAAAAAGTTTATAAAGACAATCCCCTACTGCAACTTTAAGTTAACTTAATCAATTTGTGTTGCGACAACACATAAGAATTGCATGAAACCCAGCATTATTACGATTTAGGCTATATTATAACTTATAAATTGATAAATTTCTAAAACTTAATCTTATTAATATATTTATTGCGACTTCCTGATTCCACCTTTAGTTGCTAGAGAAACAGTGAGGGTCCTTTGATTTGTGAGGCTCTGGAAATCTGAGTCTGTGTCCCAATTCACAAACTATTCATCCTAAACAGTATTTAAAAATAGAATTAGTATTTCCCAAATCGTAGTATGACAAAGAGTATGACAAAGTTTCCCAAATGGTTTACTATTTCTGGTAAAAATGTTTTGTAGAAGCGTCTCTAATCGCTGATCTTGCCCATACATTGCGCATTGGACGTAAATTTGATTAAAACTACAAACGCAAATGAAAAGTGCAAAAAAACTACGAACATGATGAACGTGCGAGACAAACTGTGAAGTAGAGGCTTTAGTAAAGATGTTTGTATGACTGTTTATTAATATTTTGTCAACTGGAAAACATTTAAATCATATTTTCTGTGTTAAATTTGCTCTGCAACTTATTTAAAGTGTGTTTGGACATTAACGTCTGAATGCAGAATTATACAAAGACCCGAGGAGATTTCTCTGCATGAAAGACTCATGAATAGGAAACTAAACTGCTGCTGCTGCTGCTTCTTCAATAAGGTAGATAATTAAATATGAAAGAAAAGGAGATGATGTGTGGGTGATTGACAGGGAACGTAACTAAGTAACATAACGATCTGTTAATAAGGAAGTAGTATGTCCCAAAACGTGCATACTCATCTGTTAAACACTCAAAAGTATACATTTTTCCTTCACAAAAAAGTACATACTTTTAGGGCGTAGTACTGTTAAAGTAAGTGAATTGGGATGCAGCAAGACACTCTGAGCCCAAGATGTTATTAGCAAAACTTTATGTAAACTTAAGTTTTCAATTGAAGCATGACATAACAAACAGCAATCTGTGGGTTGAATACCTGTTGCGGATGGCTTTAAAGGCTGATTATTGCGGTATAGCGTAGCATGGCGTGTAGTGTTGTTGCGTTTGCCGTGGCGGTCAACCAAAAGTACAGCTACCCCACTCTCATTCTATTAAGGTAAAGTTGGTTGTATATTTACACATTTATTCAGTGTCAACTTGTGACACACTCCTTATATTGTTTACCAAGGCACTTTGAATATTCGGTCTGAAATAACCTGCAAGTCTGACTTGAAAACAGTATTAACACTGTTTATTTGACTGTGAACTATGTTGTACTTTGATAGACAATGGCTGCTAATATGATTTCACTATTTGGAGTTTTCAAATAATACTTTTATGAAATTATATTATTGAAGGGAAAGTCCGTATGTGTAAATGTGTGAATGTAAAACCAACTATACCTCTGTTCACATTCTCTATTCC